TTTTTTTTTTTACATTTCCTGGAATACTTAGAGAGCAATTATTGTGACTCTTCTTAAAGCTTGACCTTTATTAATGATGTTTACCTTCTGTTTCCCCATTTGTGACCTTTGAAAAACTTCAAAACAACTGATGTTTTTCTAGGAACAGAAAAAAAGGGGAAAGTCTGTGTTCTCAGTTAGTTGAGGAGGACAGATCCCAGTAGCAGTTGATGCCAGTGCAACTGCAGGTCAATCCTTGTCCCTGGGAATTTACCCTTGAGTAATGTCTTAGGGCCATCCAAGGAGCCTGTGAGAAGCAGGTCAGGTCGCCAGGGGGGCTTTAAGAAGCCAGGGGGCAGTGCTGTCCCCTTACCCCCACCCCGTCTCCATTTCTCTAGCCTACAGTCTAAATCCAGTGGAGGTGACTTTTCCTTCTACCTTTGAAGTCTTCCTAATATCTGAGAATGTGCAGAGTCAGAAAGACCAGAGAGGCATGTGAACATTTTGCCCACACTTTGAGCTCCAGAAAATTCTCAAATTGCCAGAAATCTAAGCTAGAGATAGAGAAAAGATAAGCAATTTAGAACAAGCAGGGAACAGGCCTGGCAATTGTCAAGAAACATCATTTAGTAGCAACAGAATAAAATGGGGGTGTTAGATATATTCAGAGAGACCAGGAAAGAGTTAGAGTTCCCACTGCCCATCAGATTGGTAACAGGGTAAGTGAGAGAAGGGAGAGGTAGTCCTGACATTTCAAGTTGATACTCACACTGCATTTCTCCCTAGAAAAACAATATATATGTATTTGGCATTCTAGATCCAGAAAAGCATTACATACAATGTTTCAGTGTGCTGTATACATGCCTAGTTTAAAAAAAGCAATTTAAGCTTAACCATAATCAGGTACATCCTTCCTAAAGTAATCACTGCTTTTTTTTTTTAATTCTTAAGAGAAGAATCTACTCTTCAACATTGATATTAACCTCCTTTGTTTTTTTAATTCTTATTCCTTTATTTTTGCATAGAAGAACTGGGGTTTAGGCCAGAGGTGTGGGTGTGAGAGGATTCGCCAGAGACAGAGTGGGAAACGGAACCGGTGGATCAATTGAATACACTGCTAAGGGGAGCAGCAGGTGAGACAGGAATGTCTGCTGGGCCATAGGTGGGTCACCTCCCTGGCCAGGGATGGAACTCAGGTCTTAGGGGTGATAATGCTGAGATTTTACCCTGTGGCCACCAGAGAAGCCTCTGGTCTTTAGCTGAGCTACTTTGATCTCTCTTCAGAAGCTTCATGGCATGGTGACTGTTAAGACAGCAGCTATGTTAGAAACAAGGGAATTGCTCATTATTGCTGGGTGCAGTCTGTACAGATTAAGTGGAATCAAACTTCACTCAAAATTTAGCCAAGAAATTCTGTTGTTATTCCCATGACAGCTTTGGTTAGTATGAATGTCTTTTTAATCTTAGCATTGAGATGACCCATTTATTTATTTTAAGAAACAACTTGATAGCCTTTGCAACATTAACTTTATCGCCTTTAAAAATGAAGAAAGATTTCGATATGTACACTACTAAAATAGGACCTTTGGGAATCTGAATTAATTACTTGAATCTGGTTACCGTATAATTTAGAGGCTGAGTTTGACCTTAGAACTGCCAGATATAAAAGGTTCCATAAGGTACATCGTGCTCTGAAGGAAGATTTTTTGAGTGAAATGGAAAGTTGATTGAATGCATGTATAAGCAGTTACTGATTCAGTAAGATTCCTAAATCTAGAAATCAATCACTGCTGATCAGTTTAGAGAAATTTACTTCTAGCTTTCTGCCTTCTTGGGTCAAAAAAAAAGAAACTCGTTATACAAAAGGTGAGAAAATGAACAAGAATTTCCTACCTATTTATATACATACAGTAACACAGCCAGCAGGACGTCTGAACGCAGAAGCAGTGTGTTTGACTTTCTTCCCATAGTTAGAACAGTTTTTATTATGTTTTTTTTTTTTTTTAAAGATTTATTTATTTGTGCATACAGAACTGGGGTACAGGCCAGAGGCTCAGGGGCGGTGAGAGGCTTCACCAGAGACAGAGTGGGGAACAGAACAGGCAGATCAATGAAGTACACTGCTGAGGGGAGCAGTGGGCAGGTCAGGAGAGGTCTGCCACGCCATGTGGTCACCTCCGGGCAGGCGGGAATCGAACTCATGCGGAAGCGGCTTTAGATTCTCAGTGCTGTGCTTTAACCCGCTGCGCCACCAGGGAGGGCCTTTATTATGTTTTTAATTGAAATTTGTAAATAGTGGCAGTTGTGATTTTCTTTTCTGTTACTTCTGGATTTATGGGACAGAAGATTCTCTTAGTAGATGCTCACTTTGAAGGTCCAAAGGCCAAAGGTCTTTGAATTTTCATATTGCCTTTCCTTCCATCTTTCTTTCTCCCCTTACCATCCTTACTTTTTAATTGATTCTAATGTGGAATTAAATTTTAAAATATTTCTATAGCATTTATTTTTAAGCTTTTCTTGGCCTTAATTTTAAGTGATTGTGAGTTGAACCTTTGAACCTTTTTGTTCTCTAACTGAAAACTTGAATTAAGTGGCTTTTTGCTTATATTAACAATTGTTCTCAAATTATTTTTTCCTCAAAGAAAAAGTTGAGAGTACTGGTATTCAGTACTTTACACTTAGGCAATCCCAAGCTCCCAAGTCCCAAATTAAATTAAATTTCCAAGTGACTTTGACAATTTAGAGAAACAAGTTAGTAATATTCAGCAGCATTAAGGACAGGGGAATTTACTTATAAGAAAAATAAGCTCTTCAAACATGAGTTGGAGAACTAACAAGTTTGTAATATCTGACAAAGAGAGATAAGAGACATAGAATAAACCATTAGCCAGATCTGAGTTAGAAACGCAACATTGACACTTACAAATTTGCAAAAGGGTGTTTGTTAATGGGGCAATCTTTAAGAAATCTGGGATTGAAAAGGGATTATAAGCCTTTGGTTAATGAACCAGCTGACTGATATTGAGATTGTATATAAAGAATATATAATAATCAGTTATGCTAAGTGGTGCATTAGGATTGAGCCATGGAGGAACCCTGAGATATGGAGTGTGACATCTATTCCAGTTTCCTTCAGCACTGTCACATATATATTATATATATACATATAGATTAGATATATACACATATAATATGTAGAATATTTATATATATATTATATATTACTTTAATTGATAGATTCTGATCAACAAAAGTTTTGACAGGAAGTCTTTTAAATAAAAATCTGGATTTAACCATCTGCCCAGAGATTGGTGTAGACATGACTAAGTTGGACATGACTAAGGTGTCTATAAAAGCAAAACAGCAGCAAAAACCGAGCACTTATCCTGAGACAATGCATTACTTTGAAGGGCGATGTTATTCCTTGTGAGGGAGGAGCAGGATTTGGGACAGAAACTACAGAGGTCTTTCAAGTCTATCATGAGATATGTTTGGGCAGTTTTTTATTTTAATGTTAAGGCTTCCTAGACTGCACTACTACCAACACCACTACTACCTGAACAATTAAAATGTATTCCCAGAACAAATGAAGTTTGTATTATCCACCACTGCATTGATTATCTACAGAATATTTCCTTCTATTTAAAAGATAATTTGGAATTGCCTATGGAGTACTCATGATAATTATTCTAATTATCTCTGTCATAAAATCACTGAATGAGAGGAGACAGAGACCGTGTCCTAACTCCTCTC